GGTTGGGGAAGAGCTTGGCCAACTCCATTATTCTTTCTTGTTCTGGTGTCCAAATTTTCATTTGTGCCATGTGGCTGGGACTTTCTCCCCCATTCCCTGACTCTGACATGCACTCCCAGCCTGGAGAGATCATCCTTCAATGCAACGAAGGCTCCGTCACCATGTTTTATGTCGTCCTTGGCTACATGGGTTTTCTAGCTGCCATTTGCTTCACAGTGGCTTTCTTGGCCAGGAACCTGCCTGGGGCCTTCAATGAAGCCAAGCTGATCACCTTCAGCATGCTGGTCTTCTGCAGTGTCTGGGTCTCTTTCCTGCCCACCTACTTGAGCAGCAAAGGAACGTTCATGGTGGCCGTGCAGGTCTTCTCCATCTTGGCCTCCAGTGCTGGGCTTCTGGGCTGCATCTTCTTCCCCAAGTGCTATATTATCCTCCTGAGACCAGATCTAAACACAAAGGAACAACTAATGATAAAAGTAGGGAATTGATAATAAAACTGTTTCTTAGACTCATAACATTTAATTTTTCATTGCAATTATTATTGGACTTATATTCTTCCTTTGCATCTGTTTGAGAATTAAGCTTATTTAAAACCAAAGGAAATAAAAACATATAAGCAGTGTAGGACTAATGTAATTGAAATCCAACATAGTCATCAAACAGTAAAATGAATTAATTAAAATTGATATGCAGCCTAGGAATGACAGGATAAGGAATAAGGTAGTTGTATTAAGAAAAGACAGCTAAAGGAAGGAGACAAGATTCCCCAAAGAGGGGCAGAAGAAGTCTTTTGCCTTAGGTGGGATGAATATGGAAATCTAAGTGTGTGAACATGCTCTCTTTCTCTCCATCAGTTGTTCTCTAAAGTAAGGGATGGAAATAGAGCTGAGAGAGCATTCTTCAATTCAATGAAGGCTATTTCCCAATGTTTTATGTTGTCCTCAGCTACATGGGTTTCCAAGGACATTCAGATGACCCCGAGTTACAGCACTCTGTATGACCTTTTTTAGTTTATCTGCTGGGGTTAGATGTCAGCAAAAGTCCTTGTGAGACCTCAGAATTCCATGACTTCAGTGTTGAGTCATCACTCTCCCAACACCCTTGCTGGACATGTCCCAAAAGGAATCAGTCCACTGGAAAAAGTATCTGTAAGGTTCAACACTCTCTATGAAGACTTGATCTAGGAAAGAAAAGAAAATAGTCTGAGCCCAGCTTTGTCTCTTATCCACATGGTTCTCTGGTCCCCAAAAGGAAGCTTTCAGCATTGTGCCATGAGAATGGGAAAATAATATATGGATGAAAATGGTAGGAAGCATCCTTGAGGCTTCTCTATCCAGAGTTAACTAGGGAGCTGCAAGTAGAATCCATCTTCTCCAGAAGCTGCCTAGAGGCAACTATCTTTGCCACATCCAATCAAATGGAAAGGGCTGGAAGTTAACATTCTGATATCTGGTGTATGTCTGTGTGAGAGAGAGGGGGGGAGATATCATGTACATGCCTTCTTGGGCCAGTCCAGGAGATTCTAAGGTTTTGTCCATTTTTCTCTCTCTAAATACTTTCAAAGTTGGCTAAATCAAATATGACTTGATGCACATTTCTGTTATCAGAAATATCTTATCATAGAGCTTTTGATACCTCATAATCTCATGAGTGCAATGGGGCCTTTGAATCAATGCAATTGAGCCCTATATAATAGCTCTCTCTCTCACACACACACACAGAGAGAGAGAGAGAGAGAGAGAGAATGATTTCCTCTTTGTCTATCACTCTTTAAGCTATTTGTCAAAGAGGCAGCTCATCTCAAGTCTCTGTCTTCAACCTACCTTTCCACATACTAACACAAGGAATCCATGGTGTCTGACATAAGGAGACAGATGTAAGGCTTGGCCTATTGCCCCCACACATATCCTTTAAATTTGAGATACCTTCAGCTGCCTCTGTTAAGAGACGGTTGACTGTCCTTGTTCATATGACTACTTCTTCTCTCTTATAATGTACACAACCAGAACAGAATCTCTGAAAATTGTTTTTTTCATTATATTAATCAAAATATAATGGAACATGGTGTGAATGTCTATGAAGATTCTCAGTCATCCAGGTCATGGCTGTCCCAAAGGTGCTTTTTCAAGAGGCAACTGGATTTTCTGGCTTTTCTTTGAAGACGTTTTGCTTCTCATCCAAGAAGCTTCTTCAGCGTGTGCACTGCTAAAGAGGACCTTGAAAGAAGCAGGTTATCTGGATCTCTTTGTGTTATGATAGGTGAGCTCATCCATCATCATGGGGTGAGTTACCATTGGCAGGTTGACGATACTAAATTTTATATGTCTGTCTCTAGCAAATTCAGTGATGCTGTGAATGTCTTATTCTGGTGTCTGGGAACTATGAGTGTTTGGATGGAGAAGAACAGCCTTTAGATAAACCCTGGCAAGACTAGGGGGGGGGGCTTCGGGTTTTAGACTCTGCCAGTTGTAGGACTATGCCATCTTTGGTGCTGGATGGAGTTGCTCTGCCAACAGACCTGGTGAGAAATCTGGAGACCTCCAAGACTCATAACTCCTGCTTGGGGAGTTTTTGGTCTTCGTGGTTAAGTTGGCCTTTGCACAGCTTCATGCTCTTCTATTTACACCTGTCCCTGTAAGCGGATAGCAGCAGACATGAATGTAATTGAAGTACTTGGCAGAGAACTCTTGCATGAAAAATGTCAAGCCTGCCAAAGAAGTGATAGCAAAGTCCAAATGTATTCCAAAATTCACAGAAGGCCAAATCAAGTAGTCAGCCAGTCCACGAGGCAAAGGGTCATGAACAAGAAGTAGGAGCAAGAACTGAGCTGGAAAGCCAAAGGGTTGTCTGGAAACAAAGGAGCTACATTAATCTGCCTGCAGATAGTAAGTCACAATTACTCATGAATTTCCCCTTGGTTAGCAAGGAGCCTCACTGAGGCATGTTACTACACTCACCTCTGAATGGTTTGGGAATTGTGCCTCATCATCTGACTGCTCCAGCTGAACAGGAGATGTCTCTCCCTGCCTGATTTCCAGTACTTGCACACTCACGACTCTATCCTTGGAGAATGGCCAGCAGTTAGGTGGTAGAATGATGTTTAGGAATACCTGTCAATCAGGCATGGGGACTAGGAGACTTTGTCTTCCTTGGATTCTTGTGTTGCAATTCCAGGAAGTTAGATATTGGTTGAGATATCCCCCTCTGATGTTGATGGTTCATCCCACCTTTCACTGAGAAGTTGTATTGTACTATCTGCAGATGATTTCCCTTCAATCTCTATACATCAGTTTATGTAGAATCCCAACACAGGACCACAAAAAACACAACAATCAAGTCTTACTGCAGTTATTATTTATTCCAAATACACTGGAGGAATTCCCTCCAAAAAAGAGTGGGGGAAAATCCTTCAGAAAAAAAGGATGCACTGACATTTATACATTTCAGGAAAGCAGGACGTGTGTGTTTGTCTCCCTGTGTGTGTGTTTATATGTGCATATTTAATACATCACATAAGTATCCTTAAGAAATAATTTTTTTTGTCTAAATAAAAAGAAACATACCATTTAAACTGTGATGCCACGTTTCATGGAACGTACTGAGAAATGATGTGTCAAGGTTACCTCATGCATTCCTTCTATTATTCTAACCTGTTAATACACTTCCACTCTTCTAAGAACTTATTTTCCGGACAACATTCTTTTGCCTCTACACTTTAATAATTTCAAGTAAAAGAACTGGACCCTGGCATAAATAGGAAACACCTTTGGCCATTTTCTAAGTTTAGCCTGTTTCTTTCTATGTTTATTTGTTTCCTACTGGATTTTTTTTTTGTTTTAATCTTTTGAATCAAATAAAAATTTAAATGGAAATTCCTCTGTCTCACATGTCCACATTTCTTCTTGTTGTAAGTTGCTCCCTTGTATTCAAGTCTGGTCTCAGAATAATAATGTAGCACTTGGGGATGAAGATGCAGCCCACCAGACCAGCATTGGAAGCCAAGATGGAGAAGATCTGAACAGCCACCATGTATTTTCCTTTAGTGCTAAGATAGGTGGGCACAAAACTCACCCACACACTGCAGAAGACCAGCATGCTGAAGGTGATCAGCTTAGCTTCATTGAAGGCCCCAGGGAGATTCCTGGCCAGGAAAGCCACTGTGAAGCAGATGGCAGCCAGGAAGCCCATGTAGCTCAGGGTGATGTAGAACATGACAACAGAGGCTTCATTGCATTGAAGGATGATCTCTCCATTCTGGGAGTGGGGGTCAGAGTCAGGGAAAGGGGGAAAAACGCCAAGCCAGGTGGAGCAGATGATAATTTGGACAGCAGAACAGGAAAGAATGATGGAGTTGGCCAAGCTCTTCCCCAACCATNGAGATAACTTCGAAAGGCATCACCCAGATGGAATGTCGGTGCTGTTGGCCTTGGCGGGAAACCTCCTCTGCACGCGCAGTAAGTCAGGCAGCAGAAACTCCAGAATCATCCTCCAGCACAATTAGTATTCCCCTCCCAAATACCATGCCCCCCCTCCCCATTTCAATGGCAGTGAAGCAGCAGCAAAGCAGAGGCTGACACTTTCCCCTAGGAACCAAGGACATTCTCACACCTGGACGTAGGAAAGAGGAGTGATATCACCAGGCTTCAGGATGCTGTCATGATTGGACCATGTGACTGATTGGGTTCGCGGGGGGAAAGTTTTACTTTTAATTAGGTAAAAAACAAGGGGCCTCTCAGAGATGTTTTTCACCAGATATGTGCCAATTTGATATTTCCAATAGAGCTATTCTTTGAGGAATTAATCTGCCTCAGAGTTTTTGCTTGCAGTGGATCTATTACTTAGAATCCTAACAATAAGCCTGGAAGACATCTTCAAAGCTAGTTAGGAATATCTCAAGATCATCTCTTTCAAACAATATTTTTGGAATTGGAGTTTTCATGCCACTGAGGTTTGGGTAGTGCCCTAACTGGTGTTGATGCTCCTTCTCTTTCTCCTGATGTGCCCTTTCTCAGCAATCTCCATTTAGTTGAACTCCAGATCAAGTTTCATCCTCATTGTGGCTTCCTCCCTCTCAGCTTCTTGTTTCAGTTTCTTGGAAAGAGATGCTCAACAGTCTTTTTGACTTCCTGTTACATAGACATTTATAGCCTGAGCTTTTCTGTCAAGGTTTGCCTAACAATTCTCTTTGCTCCTTCTCAACCAACTTATTAAGCTTACAGTACTGATCATCCCAAAGGTGCTTTGCTTTTCTTTTTCCCAGGAGGCAACTGGACTTTCTTGTTTTTATTCTTTTGAAGATGTTTCACTTTTCATCCAAGAAGCTTCTTCAGCTCTGACAGGATATTGGGGAAAGAAAGGATTTATATTCCTTGCAGACAGCTGGTCATTTGCATCCTTTTAGAGGGTCATTGAAGCACTTGGATGCTCTGGACCCAGTGCCAAGTCTTTCATTGTATGCCTATTCAAGTTTCAAATTCATGTTATTGGGCATTCTCAGGTCTGTTCCTGCAGTTGCGGCCAAAACTGGATGCAATATTCCAAGTGTGGCCTTACCAAGGCATCATAAAGCGATCCTGATTCTATCCCTCTGTCAATAAAAGCCTAGAACTGTGTTGGCTTTTTTGATAGCTGCAACATACTGCTGGCTCATATATGAGATGTTTTTTCCCTTCTGTTTCTTATCACACTTAAAACTGTTTTTATTTCATCCTTATTTGAAATTCTCCCCCCCCCCCCCATTTGTCTTTGTTTCTTCAACCTCTTCACCAGGAGACTGATTGGTAGCTGAGTTCCCAGGCAACCATTGTCTCATCCCTCTTGTTTGATTGACTGCTGCTGGGTTGCCACGATGACAGTGGTAGGTCAGGAACAGAGGCAACCCCTAGGGAGAGAGGGAGGCGGGGCTTCTATCTTCCTTCAGAACTGGAGGAGCTGAAGGGGAACATCTTCTCTCTGTTAGGAAACTCTGATCAGAGGCAGCCCAATGAATGAATATTCAAAAATATTTTTAAAATGAAGGAAAAATTCTAGACTTTGGCAGAATTGAAATAAGAAATAGTATGGATAAAGAAGTTAAAAGAATAGAGAACTGAAATAGAAAAAAGCTTTTGTCTTAATGAACTCAGAACTGGAGACAAAATCTTCTCTCTTTTAGTAAACTCTGATCAGAGGCAGCCCAATGAATGAATATTCAAAAATATTTTTAAAATGAAGGAAAAATTCTAGACTTTGGCAGAATTGAAATAAGAAATAGTATGGATAAAGAAGTTAAAAGAATAGAGAACTGAAAT